CTCTCGCCAGAATGTTTGTCGCGCACGTGATCACCCCATGGCTTATCGAGAGTGCGACGGCGTGCCTCGCCATTGTGCTCCCGAATTCTTGTTTCCAAGGAGCGTTCCGTCTCCCCTACATGGAACAGGAGGACATGGTCATGGGTAACAACGAGAGCAACGACCGGCATATGACAGTTGGCGAACTCACCATATCGTATTAGATCATGACCAGTGTAGCTTTCTTAAATGTCTGTAGCCTTAGGAGAAAAGTAGCAGAAATTGAAGACTTTATCTCAACCCGTGGAGTACACATCCTAGGCGTTGCGGAAACTTGGCTGTCAGCCGATGTAACAGACGGAGAAGTAAACATTCCTCATTTCAGTGTGTTCCGCAAAGATCGGGAAGGCAGGCAAGGAGGCGGTGTTGCCTTCTACTGTCATACGTCCTTGCAAGTCCGTCGAAGACGTGACCTCGAGTGTGAGCTGGAGATGCTGTGGCTGGAGATTCTAGCCCCAGGTCGACCAGGCAATGAGACGGTCTTACTGGGCTGCTGCTATCGACCACCTAGTGAATCTGCGGGCTACTGGGATGGGCTGGAGTCAAACCTAGAGACTACCTGCAGTGGACCGCAGACCACAACTGTGCTAGTAGGAGACTTCAACGTAAACTTTAATGATGCCCATGCTGTGACTCCTTTGCATCATGTACTCAACCAGTTTAACCTTCGCAACCACGTCACATCTCCTACCCGAGTAACCAGCAGTACTGCCACACTACTGGATCATTTCTTGTCTACCACCCCGATCCAGGGTGTTTGCGAGACCATACATTTGGATATCAGTGACCACTCTGCAATACTTGCCAGGCTGCCAATTTCAGCAAGTCACCACTTGAAGGGACAGCATCTGCGCAAGACTCGCTGTTTGCACAAAGTGGATTGGAATATGTTTACATGTGACCTGGAGAAGACGCTAACTACCTGTGACTCTGTCTGTGTGGATGTGCTTGCGTCGTCACTCACTGCGGGAATCCAGACCACTCTAGACAAACATGCTCCACTTCGGAAACGGCGCCGCAAATCTCGACGTCCTTGCCCCTGGATTACAGATGAGTTAGTGGCAAGTGTTCGTGAACGGAACCGGGCGCATCGTCTCTGGCTCCGAGACAAAACCGATCAGAACCTTCAAGAAGCACACCGATCAGCTCGCTCCAAAGCACGGAAGTTGGACAGGAGTCTGCGCAACTTGTACTTCACTAAGAGATGTGATACATCAGATCAACGGCAACTTTGGGCTGTCATGAACGATGTCACAGGCCGACAGAAGACACGGAAAGAACCTAAAGCGCCGCTTGAGTCACTCAGTAAATTGTTTGGAGACATTGTGCATGACCCTATGCGGCCACCTGAGCTGCATATACCACATGGTCCAGCCTCTGCATCTAGCTTCTCAACATTTCAGCCGGTAAGCGTGTCTGATGTTGCACAATGCTTGCAAACTGTGAGTCCTCACAAAGCATCTGGGAGTGACAACATTCCTGGAATTGTACTGCAGCAGTGTTCAGATGCCCTGGCACCTCCATTTACCACCCTAGTCAATGCATCCTTGACATCAGGTACTGTGCCAGTGTGTTTTAAAACATCACACATTAGTCCACTGTTCAAGAGTGGCGATGCAACATCCCCTACTAACTATAGACCAGTGTCATTGCTCCCTATTCTGTCCCGGATTTTGGAGTTCTTTGTAAAGAAGCAACTCACAGCATACCTCACGCAACATAGCATATTACCTAGCAGTCAGTTTGCCTACAGGAAAATGCACTCTACCGAAGATGCATTAGTTCTAGCCGCCAACCGTTGGCTGTTGGCCAAACAAGAGCGAAAATACACAGGTATTGTGATGGTTGACATGTCAAAAGCGTTTGACCGTGTCCAACATCAACGTCTGATTGATAAACTATTCACCCTGGGAGTCAATGGCAGAGTATTGTTATGGTTGGCTAGCTATCTGTCTGGTCGTACTCAGCGTGTCAAGGTGTGTGAGGCTCTTTCTGATGCAGTCCCATGCTCAAGAGGTGTGCCCCAAGGCAGTGTTCTTGGGCCGCTTCTCTTTGTCCTTTACACGAGTGACATTTCCGACGTCATACCTTGCATTGTTGTTCATCAGGAGTTCGCGGACGACATCATCCTAGATTATTCTGATTCAGATCTGGACACTGTTTGCAAGACGTTGACTACGGCTGTGACACGTCTGTCTGATTGGCTCTCCGAAATTGGGCTTCTGCTGAATACCGGCAAAACCCAAGTCATGGTAATTCAACCTCGGGGACTCACTGGCGACATACCAGTCGTGAAATGTAAGGATCAAGCCTTAACTGTAACCTCCACTGCCAAATACCTTGGCGTAACCATTGATGACCAGCTATCCTGGCAGCCACATGTCTCCAGTGTTGTGCAGAAGGCGTCAGTCGCCATCAGCCAGCTATGGCGCCATGGGCGATCTCTGCCCATAAGAGCCCGCAGACTTTGGTACATTGGCATTGTGCAAGCACGACTAACGTACGCATCCAATGCATTCTTCCCGTCGCTGACACAGCAGCTGCAGAGTCGTTTAATCAAATCCAGCAAATCCGGAATTCGTGCAATTTTCCGACTCTCCATGATAAATTTCAAAGGTAACTCAAACTAATTTGGCAATGAAAAAAATCTTTTCACAAAAGAAGTCAACTAATGAATCATGAGAAGAAGTAATGTTTTCTCTTTTTCCATATTGATCTCTAGCATGCATGGACACCCATGGCCACTTGTAACGTTGAGGCTCCATACGTACAACAAAGTGAATATAATCCCTCCGTAGCCCTTGCCGGATTATGCCGGCATAATCTTGGGACTTCGTCAAAAAATTATGCTCCGGCGGATTATGCCGGCATAATATTTGGCATAATCTTGGGGTTTCGTCCAAAAATTATGCTCCGGCATAATATACGGATTCCAACATGTAAGGTCGGCATAATCTTTCGGTTTAGACAAAAATTACGCTTAGGGCATGGCCGTGTGTGTATGCGTGGTTTCTCAATCCTCTATGTACAGCGTGAATACATAGTGGAACCGAGCATAATTCAGCATATTTGTTGGCATAATTGTGGCATAATCAAAAGCATAATTTGACGATTGGCCGAGCATAGTCCGCCAATGGCTATCCCTCCGTGCAAAAGCATAACATGAGGAGTATGCGAGCATAATGGGAGAATCCATGAAAGCATAATTCCATGAGTCGCGAGCATAATCCGCCGGAGCCTAAATTGACGAACCAACACAATGATGCCGAAATATTGGCCTAGAAGTGGCTATGGAAGCACATTTGCTCCTCCTTTTCCGCCACAAACATAGCTGTAGAGATTTTCTCATATTTTACCGAATTTCCTGCTTTCTATTTGCATGTACATCCTGTGCTCACTGCTCAGCCTGCATTATTTTTTTGTCCTTGATAAAATCGATCCTCTCAAACGTTGGGTGTCTGTTGCTTTACGGTTGTAGAATTGTGGCTAGACCGCACAGCTGTTCAATAGTCTTGCCGCCCCCTCATTTTTTATTTATTTTTTATATACTACATATATGTTCACATTCCCAGCTCGAAAACAATAACGCGAGACAATGGTACTGGGACTAGGACAAACAGGACAAACAGGTCAACCGCTGCTCCAGTAAACCGTTTCGTCTCTTCCTCTCTTGTCTTGTGCGTAGGTATACCCGTCCTTGACTAGTCTGGGTTTGCTTCTCGAAGTTAGGCCAGGAAAATCGGGATACGCGTCCATGATTAAGTCACCAAGATAACGGATTTCGGATCCAGAACCTACAGTTTTCAGTAAATTCGGCGACAGGGTCAGCGGTAAAAATGTACCTTCATCGAAATGTACTCGCCGAATGCGTTAGGGTGCGAAAACATCATTAGCTGTGAAACAACACAGTCGCGAAATGTCACTCGATGAATTGACCACCTCTAAATGTCCCACGACGAAATGTCACGGGCCTAATTGACCGGATACCCGACCCATAGTAGCAGCATGCAACAGTCTAGGCCTCGACCAAAATTAATATGCTTGCGCATATTTCCGCATATTTTGTGAGACAGTTCATAATTATGGCATATTGAGCGACAAAGGGAATATTGGAATGAAGCCAGCATATAATTCAAATATTCTGAAGAAAATGAGGACAAAACATTCATATTATGGACAACATGCGTTCAGAAATGCCTTTTATGGATGAACTTGGAATGGTTGAGGCGTTTGCTACATTTCCCCATGGATGAACACTATCACTACGGTTGCTGCGGACACACCCCAGCCATACTATTCAGCATATGTTTTGATTTGCCGAGGAGGAGTTTGATGTTGACAAGAGGAAGTCTGCAGTGTACAAGCATTTGGTGTCCAGTCCAGAATGTCGTAAGGTGATTGACGATTCCTGGTTTAGTGTTATTCGTTGCGCACGTTTCTTCAAGCAATTGCAGGTGTTGGAAGCTGTGTATATTCGTACTCGTGACCCTGTGCTATGTAAACAGAAAGAAAACGTTGTATCACTCACACTCTTCAAGTAATACACACGCACCATTAC